TTGGCTACCACAAACAGGGGCAGGTCCTTTCCCAACTCCAGGTCTGTGAGCCCCATGGGCTCCACCCAGGAATTCCACGACTGAGTGGTGAGCAGGTGGGATAGAGAACCCCTCTCCCCATTTTCTTTGGAAATACTGAACTCAATTTAACAAAGGACCTTTAAAATCTTTAAAAATCTCTGACCTCGGAAACGGAGGAAGAGCAAGATACCCGCAGACATGCACTTCTGCCCCCTGTCCATTTCCCACAGGCCCTTCTCAGAGAGTATGGACACTAAAAGTAGACCACTCAACCCCAGGGAAAGTGCACAGGCACATGGACAGTGTTCTATCTAGCTTAGCAAAGAGGTAGCCAGAGCCAGCTCGGCAAGATGGCGCCATCTGCATTGTTGCACCTGGTCAGGCTCCGGGCCTGGCCAGGCCCCTGAGTGGCTCCTCAGCGTGGGCAAAGGCCTGTGTCTGAGAGCCACATGACAAACGCAACTGGTTGGAAGTCAAACTGACCTTGGGCACGTCTGTCTTCTTGTGGCTCCATCTCATCAAACAACATAATGAAGAGGTTTTAGAGCATAAAAGAAGAAATGGGTTGGAACAAACTTTGGAAATACTAATACAGCATGTTGCATAAAGTGATTATAGCGGTTCTTTTGGATTCACCAATAGGTTGAGTTAAATGTGAGAGGAAAAAATTTTACGTGGATGTATGTCAAATCAGCATTTGCATTTCTCGTCATTACATGAAAAAAATCAAACTATGTCTGTATTCTTCAGATTATGTGTATTGTGACAAAGTGTAGAAAATGTCAATGCTAAGACCCATTATGAGAAATATTTCGATGTGGAAGTTCCTGTGCTGATAACAGGGTAGGTGGTAATTAAGGACACATGGATAAGAAAACTTGTTTAGGAAATAGATTTTCTTCAATCACCCGCTTAAGGATTTACTCCTTATAGCCACTCTTAACTTCTAATCAAAATAGTTTTCAGTGGGTCAGGGTGTAGAACTACTTTATCACTCAAAATACAAATGAGCCGCTCTCTCCGGGCACAATGGCAACTCTTAAGGAAAAACTGATTGCACCAGTTGCAGAAGAAGAGGCAGCCGTCCCAAACAATAAGATTACTGTAGTGGGTGTTGGACAAGTTGGTATGGCCTGTGCCATCAGCATTCTGGGAAAGTCCCTGGCTGATGAACTTGCCCTTGTGGATGTTTTGGAAGATAAACTCAAAGGAGAAATGATGGATCTGCAGCATGGGAGCTTATTTCTTCAGACACCTAAAATAGTGGCAGATAAATATTACTCTGTGACTGCCAATTCTAAGATTGTGGTGGTGACTGCGGGAGTCCGCCAGCAGGAGGGAGAGAGCCGGCTCAATCTGGTGCAGAGGAATGTTAATGTCTTCAAATTCATTATTCCGCAGATAGTCAAGTACAGTCCTGATTGTATCATAATTGTGGTTTCCAACCCAGTGGATATTCTCACGTATGTTACCTGGAAACTAAGTGGACTACCCAAGCACCGTGTGATCGGAAGTGGGTGTAATCTGGATTCTGCAAGATTTCGCTATCTTATGGCTGAAAAACTTGGCATTCATCCCAGCAGCTGCCATGAATGGATTTTGGGAGAACATGGTGATTCAAGTGTGGCTTTGTGGAGTGGAGTGAATGTGGCAGGTGTTTCTCTTCAGGAACTGAATCCAGATATGGGAACAGACAACGACAGTGAAAATTGGAAGGAAGTGCATAAAATGGTGGTGGAAAGTGCCTATGAAGTCATCAAGCTAAAAGGAAATACCAACTGGGCTATTGGATTAAGTGTGGCTGATCTCATTGAGTCCATGTTGAAAAATCTATCCAGGATTCATCCAGTGTCAACAATGGTGAAGGGGATGTATGGCATTGAGAACGAAGTCTTCCTGAGCCTTCCTTGTATCCTGAACGCTCGGGGCTTAACCAGTGTGATCAACCGGAAGCTGAAAGATGATGAGGTTGCCCAGCTCAAGAAAAGTGCAGATACCTTGTGGGACATCCAGAAAGACCTAAAAGATCTGTGACTCCTGGCTTCTAGGCTGTAGAAATTTAAAACTACAATGTGATTAACTGTGAGCCTTTAGTTTTTTGTCCATATACATGGATCACAGTTTGCTTTTATCTTCCTAAATATGTGAATCTGGGCTCACAGAATCAAAGCCCATGCTTGGTTTAATGCTTGCAATATAAGCCCTTGAACAAATAAAATTAACTATTGTAGTGTACTTCTAAAAAAAAAAAAATACAAATGAGCCCAAATACTGTTTTCTTCTAGAGGTGCCATTTTGGTAAGTCAGAAACTAATGATGAATCTGATTACCAGGCCAAAAACAAACAAACAAAAAAAAGGTAGCCAAGTTGAGCTTCATCAAACAAACAATTGTCACCTAGCCATGGAGGTCATCTTGAACTGAAAACTAGGAAACCTCCAGAAAATCCAACTCACACCAGCAGACATTCAACAACTACTTGGAGATGCATATATTCTGATGGTGAAATGGCTTTAGACCCTTCCAACAGTTATGAAGGAAAAATTGGACTAGCTCTAGGTCTTTTCAGAATTCATGGGAATGCATCAATTGGTCTAAATATGACAGGCTTTTTTCTATAAATGTGATCCTGGATCCAAAAAGTCCTGGGCCCAGGCATATTGTGCCTGCCTCCTCCAATGTGATCATTAGGGGGCACTGGCCTCTGGAGCTCTGGTTTTCCCACTGAGTATTAGGCAAGGCCTCCAGCCCATGACTTGCTAAAACTACCATTTTTTAAGTGACATTACTTTAAAAAACAGAAACAACTGCACTATGAATATTAAAACTTTTTATCAATGTCACCAATAGAACTACTTCCTCTGCATCCTTGCGTCCTTCTGCAACAATCCATTCTTCGACCTAAATATTTTTAATCCTTGAATGGATATGGACGTCAGATCAGCAATTATGCCCTGCCCATGGGAAGTTTAGATCACTGGTCATCCAAGCCTACGTTTTTATTCAAGCTCCTCTCAATTCTACAACTCGCTTGTCCCTTTATTTACCTCATTTGTAACTTAGGAAAAGATGGCTCATACGTGGGTCTTGTTGGGCTTCAGAAATCTTTAAGGACAGACTTGTAAAAAGAAAAAAAGAAGAAGAAGAAAAGCGTGAAATGTGTCAGGGAAATGGAGCTCCCATCATTTCACTCACAAATTTTGCCTTTTAAATGTAGTTCTTCTGCCAACAGTTCAGTGAAAGATCGTTTCCTTATTGTCATTTATTAGCCGTGACAGGTAGCAACACAGCTCTCAGAGTCTCCCTTTGCCACAATTATCTAGTAATGCCTGCGAGGCAGAAGACTGCTCTAAACTCCTTCCTTCTGGAATGCTTCTCCCAAAGGCAATAGTTCAAAGCAAACCTCTATTAACTGGAACAGTGACATCTGCGGAATTCTCTGGATGGGAAGATCCCACCAGTCCTGCGGTGATACCAGAAACTAAGACATAATTACTTACTCTCCCGTCACCAAGAAATCAATTCCAGCCACGGTGTGTGTGTGTGGAAGCCTTATATACCCGCACTGAGAGGATCACCACCCCGTAAACAACCCAACCGCCGACTATCAGTGGACATACTTCCTTCTTGGCGAGGATCTTTCCTTGTTCAGCTCCTCCCAACAGGGAAGGAGCTAAAATTCCATGTAACCAATGGGACACAAGATAAGATAGTACCAACATGAAATAAATTAGCTGCACTACTGGCTTATTAGCCCTTAGATGTATTTACGAATGTGATAAAAATTACACACTCCTTGCTAACAGGGCTCATGACTTGTAATGGGCAGCTACATAAAAACCTAATATATTTTCTTTCTTTACGTATCTTTACCGATTTCTTTCTTCTAGGTACCTTTTGCCTTATGCATTTTAGAGCAGGGAGCCAAGTGACTGGGGGGTAGAGAAGAGAGAGAAAGAAAAGAGAGATTTAGAAAGAGAATAAGGCGACAGAAGTGTCATGGGAGTGGGGAGCCTGGGGCCCATCGGGGGGACAAGATGACCCATCAGATGGCCCGCACCTGAGACTTCAACCCGGTCCCTAGAGACACATCACCCATCAACCCCAGAGAAGCACCCAGCCCGTCCCTCAAACTGTCCTCTGAGCATGAAAACATATGTGATGTGTTCCACAGACAGTACAGAAATGACAGAAATGGACAGTTAAGCCTATAGTGAAAATATAAAAATGAACATACTTCTGTGCGGTAGATTTTAATAAGATTTTAATAATATCGGTGAGGAGCCAAATTACAGATCGCCCTAGAATACAGAGCACAAAACCTCAGAGACAAAATAAAAATTCATGAAATCAGAAGAGCACTTTAGAACGGTAATCATCTTTAGGATAAAGAACCCCTTTTCTCAACAAAGCTACTGAGCACGTTTAATAAACATGAAAGGAGATTAAAGACGAGGCTCAGACAGTCACAGCCCCGAGCCGCCAGGACTGGGAAGGTGAAGACACTGTGCTGGCGGCTCCGTGACCCCCTGCCGAGCAGCCTTGGACGAGAACCGGGTTGGCACATGGAGGAGCAGCGATGCTTCCACAGGGTAAAAGAAGCAGGTGCACGTGCCACTTCCAGCCACATGACCCTGATGCCCCAGTCATGGTCTTGGGGGTCGACAAGGGGAGACAGGCTGTCTTTGTTGCTCCAGGAACAACTCATTACTCAGCTAAAGTAACATAAGAGCTCCGTGTGTGGTGCAAACCAACGCGGGTCCCCACTTCTGGAAGGAGAACATGCTACCACGACCCACCCCCTGCCGGGGGCAGCAGGACTGCAGAGGCAGAGAAGGTGGCCCGGGCTCAGCTGTGCTCACGGCTTCTCAGGAGAGCTTGGGTGGGTGGCTGGCGGTTTCCCTCAAAGCCCTGAAGCCAATACGTCCGCATTAGCTCCTGGCATGGTGGAGGGGGTCCTACTCCCCCAACCACCGCCCCCCACAAGGGCACTACACATTAGTCATGCTTCATTTGGGTCAGACGTTTAAATCAGTGCATCCGTTCATCCTACCAGGAACACAACAATTACTGATTTGTCGTCCCAGCACCTATAGCAGCGAGGAGCGGCTGTCCAAAGCCACCAGCATCCCAGCAAACCAGGAGACAAAGCAAGAGGCACCCCAGGCCAGCCCTAAGCGAAAGGGCATCTACACGCTCCTTGGTTTTAAGCCCTAAATCAACTGTCTAAACAGATGCAGATTCCATGTGACCAGAGAGGCAGTCGGGAAGATTCGAGGCTTTACATCCTTCAGATACCTACTCTTGCTGTACTGGCTATTAAAAAGTTATGTGTAACTTCAAGATGAAAGGTATTAGCAGCTTCTTAGAAGAGGATAATCCCAATCTTTTGGAGATTTAATGAGATGTAACTCACTGAAGCTTCTGGCTCGGTTTGCTGTTAATTGAATCAAAGTCAATGACAATCTTGCTGAACTTTGGTGTGAATTTCCTAAACACAAGAAACAAAATATATCAAGATATTATCCAGCGAGTAGTTAAAGCAATTTGTTTACTTTGGCTTAACCTACATTTTCTGTGGGGAGGAAAAATATTTCCCGGGATTCGCTTGATATCTTATCTCTATAGGAGCCAATTACAGTGCACCATACCGAGAGGAACACAAACTCGAAAAGACTAAGACCAAAAAAAAAAAAAAGATGCATGCGGTGGCTCCATCTGTATGTTCTCCAGCGAGCTGACTTCATGAATTATCAGGGAGTCAAAGGATTTCTAACAAGTTAGCTGCACAACATGACACCCGATTACTAGCTTTCCCAACAGATTTATCTTCCTTCCTAGGAAACTTCTGCAGCCAACTTGGAATCGCTCAAAAGCAAAAAAGGGTAAATTTTCTTTTGCCTCTTGTACAAACAGCAAAACAAACAAACAAACAAAATTAGCTTTAGTGACGAGGAATTTTTAAAGTCACGTTCAAAAAATGCAGATGTAAAAATTTACTCAGGTGGCCTCTAAAACAGCTCAAAGGAAAATATTTGGGGACTAATTGCGTTCTTGTAAAAAGCCAGTAAAAGGTTAATACCTAATTGTTATTATGATGTAAATAATCTGGATTTAAAGTCTCAGAAGGCACAACAGTGCCTTGGGGATTCATTATGTATAACCCCTGTCCCCAGTGATGAGCACAGAGAGTGTAAAGGAATTGCTTTGAAAGCTTTCAATCCCAAAAGAAGTTTCCACCATGAATCCAAGATGGTTAAAAGGACCTGCCGGGAGAACATACCTCCCCATCTTTGCCTAGCAAAGATAACTGTAAAAGTCGAAATGACGTCCAATGTCAGTTTAAAATGTTGCTGTCAGAAGAATTCCTGGTGTTTCAACCTAGCAGGTTCCTTTCATCCTAAATTTCCAATGTCAGAGTTGTTACATTTACAAAATTTACCAAGGTTTAATGTTAATATTATGAAACTTGTGAATTTCACAATTTCTCGCTACTAGAGTAATTTAGCCCAAGCCCCGGAAAGCTCCTAACATTTAAGCGCAGTATCATCCATCAGATTATCTTCTGATACTCCTGTCACTGCTCTCAAAAATCCACTCCCCACACCATCTCGAGATCCTCAGCCCACTGCACTTAAAAAGAGGCTTCCAAGTGTGGAAGTCAGGCATCTCGAGAAGAAATTAAATGTCAGCCAAGGTCGAATGTGTTTCTTCATCCGGCCTCCGCCCACCCTTTCCCGGAGCTCTTCCCACGTACGTACCTGAAGGCCACCCCAGCCATATCAAACAGGCGCCTCGCGGCGGTCATCTCATCGCTGTCATGGTATTTGTCAGATATGAAAATAACTTCTTTTATACCTTCAAAGGCAACAGCAGAAGAAGCCCCGTTAGTATAGACACACAGAGCTACTGCGACAGACACGCAGGGGCAGACGGAGCCCAGAAGTGTCCGTGATGAATTACCCTTCCCGAGCCTGCTCGCCCACAACAGCCACTTACTGCGACCCGTATCTGCCACCTTCCAATGCAGCAGACGACAGATTATTTTTAATCTGCCCTCCAGTCTTTATGGATTTTTTTTTTAAACAAATGCAAAGTGAAAACATGTCAAGTAGTCAAGCCTTGATCCGATTAACAAAATTTTCTTTACTGTGGGCAATCAGATTTCCTTATTCACAAGGCGACTACTCGAAACACAAGAGGCTGATGCTAGGGGTGGGGGAGGAGGGGGGAGTGGAGCGTGCTGGCAAAAATCTGAGGTAAATGCCCTCCATGCTTCTGAAAATGGCTCTAAGAACTGATTCCAGGCAGCTCCATCGACAGCAGATCCGCTTTCTTTTCCTGTCCCCCAGGGCAGCGCTAACTGGAGGGACGAGAGTCTGGGGGAGCAGGGGGGACACACTGCCCTGTCCTCCACCAGCCTCGAAAGGGACTACAGGGAAGCTGGGTACAAGCGGGGGGAGGAAAACTCCCAGAGGGTCGTGCACCACCAAGGAAGGAGCCCAGAACATTCTTCACCAGGGGCCGGCCCCTGATTCTGCTGCCACCGGACCTCTTCCCCTCGGAGAACCACAGGCTCCTGATAAACAGGCCCTTTAAACCATGCATCTGGCTAACATGATAAGTCTTTAAATCTCAAGCTGAGAGTTTTATGGAGACAAAGTGTAGCCGAATCTCAGATGCGACAGCATGAAAAAGGTGAAATATTCAGAATACAACGGCGTAGATTTACGGTAACTGTAATGTAAGGAAAACTTACAGTAGTACCATTCGAGTCTGATGACATTTATATGCAAAGATATGTTTGGGTCCTAAAACCTCTACCATATATTAATAAAAATTAAAATTTCATATACAGACTCCCAGCTGACCTTGCTTCTGACAGAAGTTCATTTCTCTCCCTCCCCCTAATCTATGCACGACGTGTCGGAGAACGGTGAATTGGCAGTAATTATATGCACTGCCTGTGTTGTTTCTTAGCAGCCGGCAGTTTAAGAAGTTGCAAACTAAATTAAAAACATGCTAAGAATCACAGAGGACACAATTAGTCTTAGACTACCTGGCACCAGTCAAAAACAGAACACAGGAAGTACCTTGCAAAGTTGCGAGTGCAATTAATTTGGATCTAAACAACAGCGATTTCAGATCAAGCCCGTCTGCGGCGACGAGAAGGCGGCGATGCAAATGTGACAAATGCGAGGGGGCCCCTCCTACCTGCCTGGATGATGAGCTTGGCACACTCATTACACGGAAACAAGGCGACATACATCGTGCAGCCCTTCACGTCGGCTGAGTTCTTGTTCATGATGGCGTTCAGCTCGGCATGGCACACTGCGGGTTTGAGAGAGAAGGAAAGAAAAACTTAGCATCGCGACTCCCGAGGAGTTGACTAATGCGGCTGAAGCATTCCACTCGCCTCTCTTTGGGAAAAAACAAAAACGTGTATAACAGACTCGATTTCTTAAAAACTGACCGGAAACAGGGAGGACAGAACACCAAATGAGGGCCACACAGCCCGACAGGTTGGTGATTAGCCGCAAAACCGTTCGCCCTGGCAGCCTTCGGTCTGCAAGCACCCTAGCAGCCAGGAGAGGCCAAGGTCAAGTATCTTCGCCCACCCTGAGCAGGGCAATAGCTCGTGGCTCCACAAGACCCTGGGGTACGGGACTGCGCACATAAAATGGCTCATTTGCGTGTTGATACGCACATGCAGAATCTTGGCCGTGACCGTGAAGAGGGCAGGTTGCGATTTCCAGAGCAAGAGTCAGGAAGTGAAGCAGAGCATTTCTATCCCACGGGACTTCCCTCCCCTCACAGCTCTCGACCCCCATACACACGAGAAGGATGCTGGCAGATAACCAGTGGTTCATCTTACATAAGAAAAAGCTTCCTCTACTTACTGGAAAGCCAAGTTCTGGCTATCATGGCCCATTCCACTAATGATCCCCAAAGAGTGATCCCAGGTCACTCGAAGATCTGCCTGAATACAGTCAAAGGGAGCAGCCTCCTCTCCTCTCTTGCAAACCTGTAAGCCCGGCCGTCTTCCTGGGCGTTGGCAAGGTGTCCCATTCCCTAACTAGCTCACAAGGGAGCTCCTCCTCTCAAGGCAGTGGTCCTCACCGCTGTGATTGAGTTGGGAATCCCCTACCTGCACTGGGAGGCCGCCCTATTGCTCTCGTACACTGGTATTTAAGTTTCTGGGTGCGTTGCTAAAACTCTATTATCCTCTCTCTGGCAGTGATTTGCAAACCTGTCTGTGCTCATCCAGGGTGTGGCCTGGGACTAAGAGATTTCCCGCCTGATTCCAACATGCAGATGCATTGCAGAAACACTTTGTTGCAGAACCCTCTAATAAGTCCCAAGAGACCTAACACATACTAAGCGCACAAGTGCCAAAGTCAATGTTTAGTGAACAAATTAATGACAATCTGGCCGTGGTCCAAATCATACAAAACTGCTGGAATTATAAATATGGGGGGCCTCCAGGGGACCCCCACCCACTATCCTCTCCAGCTGACCAAGCTTCTGCCCTGAACAGCTTCTTCTAGGAGCACGGGAGCCTTAAATGAAGAGTAGCTTAAACTCACAGTTTTTGGACATTGTAGCCCTGACATACTCGCTTAGTCAATGAGCCTTTATTAAGATCACAGCCCATCAGAGAATAGTCCCCGCCGGGCGGCCACAGAGAGACCTGAGCCACTCTCCTGGGGATGACAGGAGAGAGAAGAAAGGCTCCCCGGCTCAGTGGCATTGAGGACACTGGCCTCAGAGAGGCCCCCTTCAGCCCCATCCACTTCCCTGGTGACCAAGATGTACCCCAGCAGGGATTAACACTTGCTCCCTGTTAAAAACAATTAGATGTAATTGTTTCTCTTATTTCCCCCTTGAGGGCAGAGACCGGTAGGTCTTCGGGGTTCTTTGTAAATTTCCCAGAGTCTAATGCCCTGCCACGAACGTAAGGGGGGTTAAATATTTATTGAATGAATAAAGGAGGAGATGCAGACTCCAATTGTTGATGGTGACGCTGGGAAATCCAGGAAGTCCTCTTAAATTCAAATATCAAGAAGAGGCTTTCCCATCAAAAAATATTTTTTGGTGGTGTTGGTATTAATCTCCAGAACTACAGTTTCTGAGTCTGTTACTCACTGTTACTACCATCTTCTTTTGAATGTCTAAGAATGGTCCCATTGACTGCAACCGTCTTCCTCCGATTCATCCCAGGCAGTTTGGGATAATATTGAACATTGTATGGTCTGGATTCATTCATGAAAATTACCACGTGAAACCAATTCTCTTGGGCCCCATCCGACATCCCCATACTAAGGGCAGCAGATAGAAATAAAACTTGGAATCATCAACACAATTCCCTTCTCTTAGCTACAAAATAACAAGAAGAAAACTACAAAGCTTCTTCTTGTAGCCTACTGGGCTACAACCGAGTGTTGGACACATGGGAGACTCTATTTTTTAAGTTTTAAATTCTTCCTTTTGATCTTTATTTTTTTTTACTTAAATTCAGTTAATTAGCAGTGTACTCAAGGCCCAGTTGCCTCTCGAAGCTACGTGACCCTCGACAAGGCGTGTCCTTCCTGTATTTCCCACTCCGACAAAGTGCATTTCCAACTAACTAAATAAAAATGAATTTTGAAATACCAAGTCATCTAATTCCCAGCTTTTTCCTATTCCTTCCTCTAGAACAGCTGACCTTCTCCAAGACAAGCTCCCGACAGTAAATCCTGAGCCTTCTCTCCTAAGGCCAAGGGCAAGAGGCAGCCTTGGCCCAGCCCGCTGGAGGCCCCAGCCCCTCCTGATTCAGGCTCTCTCCATTCTGCATGTCCTTGGTCTCCACTCTCAAGAAGCCACCTTCTCGGCACTTCAGATCTGTTTTCTTCTTCCTGCTTCTTTTTCTTCTTCCTTCTTCTTCCTTCTCTCAAGACGAAATCGTCCTGCCTCCAACGGCAAGACTAATTTATTTTTTAAACAATCATCTCTTGACTTCGTCATGCATCTACAACCTCTGGTTTTTGCTAAACCAATACTTTTCAAACTGTAGGTCAAGAAATCAGTTTAGTGAGTTACAAACAGCTTTTCCCCTCTTTTTAACACAGGGGAATGGAAATAGATGAGATCAGAATGCGTCCTACATGGCAAAGGTTAAGTCCAGTTCCTAAAAACTGTCTGAGGGGTGTGTGTGTGTGTGCTTCAGGTGTGAACTGTTTGCTGGGTCGCCATATAAAAAGTGTGTAACTGTAGGGCACCTGCACAGCTCAGTTGATTAAGCCTCGACTCTTGGTTTTGGCTCAGGTCATGATCGCAGGGTCATGGGATCCAGCCCTGTGCTGGGCTCCACGTTCAGCATGGAGTCTGCTTAAGTCTCCCTCTCCCTCTGCCCCTCCTCGCCTGTGCGTTCTCTCTCTCTCTCAAAATAAGTAAATCTTTTTAAAAAGCATGACTATGGAAAACTATTGACTTCTGTAATATGTTATTAATATTTACAACAACTGGCAGAGGGGTGGGGAGAAAAGGCCTTGATTTGCGAAATCTGCCGATTTCAATGTGACCACTCCCACATGCCAGTTTCAAGGTCCTGGCATGAAACTGACCCCCCTCAGAGTTGGGAAGAGAGATGCAGGGTTTGCTCAGATGAGCTGGTAGGAGCGAGCTCCCACTTACACCCCTGGGTGGCCTGATCTTCACCCAAACCCAGGCCTCTCTGGGTGAATCTTTGGATTCGCCTGCCCGCTGGGCCCCCAGTTAGCAACAGCTCTCCACTCGAAACCCTCTCAGGCACCAGACACCGTGGAGCCTCCTACTTCTCTGTGGGTCCTTTTCTTTCTCTCGCCTCTCGGGGGATCTTCCAAGGTTCAGTCCTGCTCTTTCATTTTTCTCCGGTAGTCCCTAAGTCTTCATGCATCTGTAGAGTCTCAGAAAGCAGATCGATGTGGTAAAACCCAGTGTCCTGTCTTCTCCTTGGGCCTCTGAGCTGGATGGTCTGAGGTTTCGCTGTGACTTTTCTCTCTATGATAAATACTCCATAGATATTTGACAGCAATAAATGAAGGAATAAATTTATCTTTTTCTAGTGCTAGCATTTTTCCCGTGTCACCCGGGGAGAACTACAGCAAGAGCTACAAATATATAAGAGCCAAAACCAACCAACAAGGAGTGGTCCTGTTCATGACCTTGACATGCACACAGTTTTTACATCTGTAGTAAGCACAGGACAGGGTATTTCAAAGTACACAGTCCCCAGGAAGTATTCGTAAGATAGCTAAAGTGTCCCCTTCTGGGCACATTTGCCAGTTACCTACCTAGAATTATGCATCTATGACTAAGCGATGACCAAAAGACATCTCTAAGTACTACAAGTGTATTTGATAAGTGCAAAGAGTGACACCAAATCTATCAATTATTCTCACCATTGTTTAAAACGAAGAGAATCAAATGCTGAAAATACCAGATTCATGCATATAAAGTTCTTGATTGCCAGAAGGAGAACCTCCGTTTCAGGTAATTATAAGACAATTCATACACTTTGGTCTTTTTTTCCTCTTCTATTACTAACTGTCAGAATTCAGAACGGCATTAACCTTGGGCCACTGAGAAGAGATTGTATAATTAGAAAACTGTATTTTTCAAATTCCCTCTTACTAGGGCTTGATTAATCCTTACTGTCTCAGGTAGGCGGTTCTCTCAAAGTTTGACAAATTAACAGGATATATTCCATCCTGGCTAGATTTAAGAGATTCAACATTTTATAGATTTGACTTTCATCTTATTTGATACAAGACTAAGACAACATCTATTTTAGATAGTACTATTATTAAGGTTACTTAAATAGGTTTTACCAAAAAAAAAAAAAAAAGAAAAGAAAAGAAAGAATCTTGAATAATGCTAAACAAAGGCTAAGTATGGCACAAATAATTTAAGGGGTAACAGCATGGTTCTACCCCTCACCTCCTTAGGGGGTGAGGCTCTCCCCCTCAGCCTATTAAATGAGGGGTGGCTCGGAGGGTCACACAGCCAGTCTCTGCACCACCTTCCGCCACCAATCTCCAGGCTGGACCACAGGAGCCTCAGTAAGTCTCTGGGGAAATGTGCCTCTGCCCTTGACCTTGAAGATTGAGGGCTGGTGGCCGCCCATGGGGAAAGGCACGGATGGTTTGCTCGCTGACAGGACAGAGGGACAGGCCTCAAGGGCCGGGAAGCATCTGCTCAGGGCCTTCCATAACGGAAAGGTGGAGGCTTCACCCGCAACTGACAACATACACGACGCGGGGTGCCCGAGTTCAAAGTTGACCCTGTGCATTTTTAAAAATAACTCGAAGTTA